AGTGCACAAAAAGCAACATTTTTCATTAAATGAAAAATAAATAACTCTCAGTCGACGCCGCCTCTTGTCATCAGATAAGGACCCAGCTATTTCGTTGAATAACATTTGAATTTTTAGCTTTCAAGACTGCAGTTAAACTTGCAAACTACGCAGTGAAATGAAGTTGCAAAGTTAAAGATGGAAAGGTCTTTTTGTGCTGAAATAAAGGAAGACCTAATGTTTCCATCGGCGTTATGAACCATTTTACATTTTATATTTTTTTAGTTTTATTATACCACAACAATATACTGATGTGGTATAAAACACTTTGCGTATTGAGTAACAAGTTAACATAGATTTCAAAGAAAACTCTCTGTACACGGATATATTATGATTTAGATGTTATAATGCGTCTGCGTCTTGGGGCGTTCAACAAACCGAGTTATAAGTAACTAGTCAGACTGGCGCCGTAACGCGTTATGTAATGTATCGTATCCTATAAAGAGTTACACTAATAAACTATCAATGAACACGGGGATATATCCGCACCCTACTATTTATTTTTTACCATTTATTACTTTTGTAAAGCACACTTAATGGGTGAAAATACCGCAGTTCTATAAAATATAATTAAGATGTGGTGTTTACCAATTTTGGCTTTGGATATTCTAATATATAGATAGTTAGGTTATTTGGATATTCTAATATTAGGATTCGTATTAGTCGATTTTTTTGTTAAACCAAAAATATTCGGAAAACCACAGACTGAAACAAAACGCGATCTTCAAAGGTTTTTACATCTACGTACGATGGTCCGTGGTTCAGACTGAACTTCGATATTCCTACCACGTACTTAATATCGGGATAATAATTATTAGCAATACATTACTAGCACGTTTAAATTAACCCCGATATTGTACAGTCTGCACATTGTTAATTCCCCTATGCATAAAAAGTCAACAGAACCTAACCTGTTAACACATGGACGATTCTAATAGCACTCTCCATTGTTTTGGCCCAAACTAGGCCACTCGCCAGGATATAGAACACAGTTTAACACCGCCTGCTAACCTGTTCGTTTATTTTTATGAACAATTTGCGTCGGAATGGAATTAAACCTGACACATATAGCTCACAATAGCTACCCATTGTTGCAAATGCATACAGAATGAGGTAGAATAGGACATAGGCCTCAGACCGTTTTAAATATTTATGCTTGATAATATCATAGTAGAGACACGAACTATTTCGTTGGAGGAGGGGCTCGCTCATTTGATATGGTGCCAAATGATAATGATTTATTAATATATGTATGTGTGTGCTCATTTAGTATACGAGGCTTTGTCCGTTTTAGAAGAATGTAATTTTACGGAATTTAACCAATAAAAATTAAATCAGATATAAAACTGTTACATTAGCCTGAAGGTACACTGTTCGACGTGAGTTCGAGTTCCGACTGAGTCATAAATGTTTTTGGTATAATATCTTTCCGTTTAACGGAAAAATTATAATGACTATTGAAATATCGAAATTCCGTACGAGTCACGAAGTGCGGTCCACATGTGAAAAAGCCCTGAATCGCGTTTCGGTTTCAGTCTGTAGATTTCCGAATATCCAAAGGCAAAATGGGTGGACAGCGCGTCTTGTTAAATGGCTGAGATATTTTCATTAAGTGAACTACAAGCTTGTCTATCCTCCTCTATAATAAAAAATATTATTACGAAACTATGTGCTTCATGCTTATAATTAAGACAAAGTGTCTGAATAACAAAAAACATGATTTTCAATACGGAGGAAAATCATTAATGTGGGCGAAAATGAATTTGTACTATCATTTGTGTAAAAAAATATGTTAACAATTTCGGTATGTTTTGTAGATTAATTATAAAAAAAAAAAAACCGCAGCTAGGCGACTCTGTCTCTAGAGGCCTCATATAACATCTTTACTAGTGAGTTACAAATACTAGAGAAGAATAATTTCTTACGCTATATGAAAAGCGAATGAGCGAATAATGATTACAAAAATACCGGCTTCCTTCCGCATTCCAATTCATCGTTTAATAACGCCTTCGGGAATTGCCTGAGCAACGAATTCAGAAGGTTTATTAGCTCACAGCCACTGCGAAGCGTGGGCTTTTGCCAACTTTTACTTCCTTTTTGTTATTTCAATTGAACTGTTCGAGCGTGTCATTTAAGTATTTGGCTATGAACAGACATAAATATAAGCTTGGTGAATAAAAATAGCTTTGCTTCGATTATCCGAACAGCAATAGCCCCCTGCTGTTTGATACAATAAAAATAAATACATAGTGGGTACGAACATAACAAAATACGTGTTTTCTATATTTTAAAAATTACATACGAATGTAACGATTAATGTCGTCATGCAATGTAATATTTTATACCGACACTTATCACCTAAAATCAGCTGCAAATTTATGCTTGACTGATCAGACTTGTCAAAGTTTTATTTAAAAAAAATCGTTTATCGCCTTTATTAACAACAAAACATACTCTTCACAATTTAAAGTATTTTATACGAGAACATCATACGTTGGCTTTTATAAGATTTGCGACATCTTACAGAAAAACTGATTTGATGGTGAATATACGTTTTAAACAGTGCTGAAAACCAAGAAAGTTTAAACTTATATATCACGGCTTAAGAAGAGATATATGATACGGCCTCATAAGTTATTCAGTACTCGAACAATCTTTAGTGTTCCATAAAGATTTACGAGCGGTAAAAATCTGAATCGTTCAAAATTTCCTGAAGCACTTCGTAGGCCGTAACATATTTTATTGTGGCCACAGGTGCGGTTTCGTAAACCGAGTCTCACTTCGCTCGTAAACGTGTGTTTACACACGATTCCATTGACATGGCCAGTGAAACGGGAAGGTAAACAGGTCACTTGTTCTAAATGGGATACTTGATTTATCATTGTTATTTCGTATTTTTCAAGTCGTCGTATCGATTGACGACTAAGATTAGAAATTGTATTATTAATCTTCGTAATCGAAACAAAGACAAATTCTAAGTACAAGTATAAAATGACGTATGTAAAATCGTTACATTAAAAAATCTTATTTTACGTTCCAAATACATCGTAGAATATACATATTTTTTGTATATACATAGTACAAATGTATAAATCCACAAAATATTGCAATAATAATAATTTCCTAAATTAAATTCGTATTTAACGACGGACCACTCAAATCGAGAGGCAAAGGTTCTTTGCCTGTCTACGCTCTCCTTGCAATTAATTATTTGACTCAATTGTCTTTATTTTTTGTTGCAGACACCTTTTGGAATGGTTCAGTTTACAAATCAACCCCTAGAGTCGCCGACGTCCAGGTACTTATACACTTAGTTTATTTTAATTACTTCATTAAAACCTTGAAAACAGTCGCTGTCTTATGGCTCAGAAATTGATCAATTTGAATGTAAGGAGCATTTTCTGAAATCTGAAGAATATTTTCATTGTGCCTTAAAGGACGGTTCACATTGAAAGATATTAGGGCGACATTGGAAAACAAATCGTCCATAAGTGACACAATATTAAATATCTGATTTGCATGATAAAAGTGACATAAGTCTTCGTATCATTTTGGAACTAACTCCTCTGACTCTATTTAAGCATGTTCAAATCGAGAAATATTTGGCGCTTAGCTGTAATATGATGGGACAGCGTAATGACCTAATCGCGTGTCTAGTCGAATTATCGCAGTAATTTCACACAACGTCAACTAAAATCCAGCGATTAATATTAATATGGTTGTAATCCCATCAAAGCACTCCATTAATTCACACGGGTATAGTTTCTAGTTTATTTGCATGTTTGTAGTAATAAAATTATAGGTATCTGTATTAATTAGGGACAGTTCTACTTAGTTGGCGCAATATATCACATAAGTTAACCATTACAGTATTGTACAATTTAGAAAACTCTAAAAATCTGAGAATGGACATTCTAATCTAGAAAACACATGAAAAAACATATGGAAACGGACAAAATCACAGAAGTAAATGTTAATAAATAAAGATGAAACAAATAATTTTGCAAACAAAAAGGAAGGTTTGAAAGGGACACAGTGAGAGTTGGGTAACCCAAAATCTTCTGTAGGAACGAAATGGGTGAAATAGTCACACTATCAGCTGAACTCAATCATCACTATCAATCATCACCCGGCGATCTAATAATCGGTGTAATAATAATAGAAAAAACAAGTACTAATTATAACTTGAAATTAACAATGACGTCATTAGACTGAAATAACTCGGTGCTGCTCAAAATCTCAAAAGCTGAAGTAACTTTTCAAAATGCCCGTCAATGCTTCACATGAGCCATATTTAAAAATAAAAACTATATCGGTTGCATTTCGTTTAAAATCACGTCACATAAATTAAAATCGCGGTCCAATCTGCACCTTTTGTTAAGATGTCGTTATTTAACTAGACTGTGCAGCGTTTCCACTGAATTCTTAGTCAGCCATCCATCAGTCTCCAACATAATTGATTGCTGATTAAGCAGCTAAATCGCCGTTTTCAAACTCCATTGTTTTCCCGTCTCCACTTATTTATCCTGGCTAAATGTCGTCTATATTTACTGTTTATTTCTTATCTGTTTAGGTCCTGTGTAAAAGTGTTTTAATATCTATATAGGTACATTATACGAATATTTTATTGTGACTTAAATTATTGTTAAAGACACATAGTCAAACAGATCCAAGTTTAAATAATTAGTAAAATATTGTAGGGGTTGTATATACAAAGTGTTTTTGAATTTTTTAAAATAAGAATCTATTAAGCATCTAATACCTACAGATAGGTACTTTTATTACTAAGTAGCTTGTATTGGTATTTTAAAAGTAAAATTTTTCGTTAAATTTGTCCAATTTGTTGCCGCCTATTTGATCCTTGACATTATGGTTTAAACAGTATTTAGAGAGAATAAGGAGGCGGAAAATGTCCGACTGAACGTTAATGGATGGTCGCTTTTTCAGGGCGTGGGCGTGAGATGGCACGCGCGGGCATGCTGCACAAAGGCGGAAAAAATGGAGCTGAGTAAGTGTCTACACACATACTTATTAGTTTCACGAGATAAACGTTAACGACAGCTTTTCACTTGACAAGACCTTTTCAGCTAATTATAAGACGTAGGGTTCTTTTGACGATAAGCAACTTTTAATGATATTTTTTCATGTAATTTTGTTAAATAAATAAATAAATTTCAAATAATCTTGTTGATAGTGGTGTTTACTCTAGTCTAGTCTCGATAGTATTTCACTTTCGTTGTTTGTTCCGGATTTTTTTGAGAGTTGAATTAATTTCTAGTAACAGTCCACAGTTTTAAAGTTCCAGACATTCCATGGAGCCATTGGTCCCAGTAACCATCACCAAATTCGTGTTACGTCTTCAACTCTCTCCTATAAGTCCCCTTATCATTCGGTCGAAACATTCGACCAAACCATACGCCAGACGTATTTTAAAACGTACAGTTAGTCTTAACAGGTACGCAACAACATAATTTTCACGAGAAATTACTGCATATTAGACACGAATCAGCACTCAAAATAATTGGCGAACATTCGTTTTAATGGTCGTGTTACATGAATAAAGTACACGTTTCACATTACAATTTGTAATCTAATTTATTAAGCATTCTCTAACTCTTTGTACTTTAAATGATATTAATATTTTGTTTTGCTATCATTAGACGTTAATATTTACAAATTTATAGATGCGAGCCGAGGTTTATTACAATTATATATTCTATGGAACAAAACTATATTTTGAATCATAGATCCATACGATTTAAAAATCGAAAATAAATTGAAAATATTTTCGACTCGGGCAGCACTTGAACCGGCATCGTCAGCGTTCCGTGCTCTTTATGTTTTCAATACGATTTACCGAAAACATGTTATATCCCTAGATCATTGGTTAGACCAATTGCATAGAATTTCGTTAGACACGTAACAACTTGAATTTAAATACTGAGTAACCATATAACAAAGATCACAAAAATGTTACATGCCCCATCTAGGGATTTCATTTTTAAAGCCTCACTAAATTTTAAAACATGTTTTAGACGATTTATCTAATAAGTGCGGGTAATTTTCGATGCGTGTAAGGGAGAATTATGCGAAGACAAAGTGGATTGAAGTTCACCAAAGAACGGTCCTCGAGACACTTAAAAAGGGCGAAGGTATTAGGGAAGAGGAGTGGGGAGCGAAGCGGGCGTCAGGTGCAGGGATGATAGAGCAATTACTTATTTTAATATTTTTATACGTTTTGGGGTAGATCACAACGAGGATGATTTTGCGTTGTATGACGTTGAAATTCATTAATTACTATATTTATAAGCTTAGTATTCAGTAGCATTAGTAGGTGAAATATTAATTTAAATTACCCTAGTTTCTCAGTAAGAGATTGTATGTAATCATTTGAGAATTAAATACATTTTTAAACCGTAAATACCCGAGCAATATAATGACTAAACAAGATGCGCTATCGACCTATTTGGATGTATGTTAGCTTTGGATATTCGGAATTCCTATAAAAATCAAATCAATAAGTAATCCTATAAAAATGATATTACTAATTAATAGATTGCGTGAGCTTTTGAACCAAACCCTTCGCTCGACTCGTACTTGGCCAGTGTATTGTGAACTCCCGAAGGTTAACTTCTCAGTCATAATATCCCAACGGGCGCTTGCGAGATACTAGGAAGGGTATGATTACTTGCAATTCGTTGGGGATTCCGATATACCTCAAAAACTGGTAAGTCTTTGTTGTGATTTTTGATATTGACAAAAATATTGTATCTGTCGTTTACATAATAGTGCGAACTACACTCCTTTATAACCATATACAAGTAATTGTATAAGTCATATGTAGTAAAAATATACACAGTCGGGTCTCAAACTGCCTGCTGTTCCTGTAAGCTGACCAATTAAAAGAAAAAATAATAAAATCGAAATATAGTATGTGTTAAGACATCTTACCAATTTATATAAAAGCTCTCGTGTATATTAGCATGTGAAAATTATAAACATTGCATTCGGTATGCTGCAAAACCCACAAAATATGATTTGGGACTAGGTAGGAATGTAATTTTAAAGCAATATTGTGACCGAGAATTGTTAACATAATTCTTACACAAATTCATTTTCGCCTAAGTTAATTGCGCATTTTTATTTTCCTCCTTAATGAAAATCATGTTTTTTGTTATTAGGCCACTCTGCCTCTAGCAGCCTCAATTAAACTGTAGTAACTAGTTACCTGTGTATATTAGTAACATATTTAGCAGCTATATTGTACATAGTAATAAATATTGTGCCGGAATTCCGCTTAACTCACTGAGTACCGAGTTCGTGCTGTGTTTATAACTATCCAATATTAAAGGCTGTTCTCAAAGTTCGCCCTGGTGCAGCTAGGTCATTTATTACTGGTTCAAAAACATATTATCCAGTTTCAGCCAGTAGCCACTATATTAATAGTTAAACGAAAACCTTGATTCTGGTGCCTCGTAAGAGATTCATTAAGTTTTTATTGGAAATCACTTTATTAAATTCTTGCAGTCCCTTTTAAAATTGCAATATATATCTGCCTGACCAAGCGAGAGTCGTTATTTTTACCACTAATAAAATAATCAAGAATTGACTGTAAGCGATATGAAGTAACCGTAAAAAAATATCCATGAAGTTGCATAAGGATTATGCATTTTATATTCAACCTTAATACCAAATTGACATGGTAGAATCTTCGAATTACGTCTGATTAAACCAATAAGCCTAAGATTATGTACTTAAGGGCCTGAAGATATAGTTTAGAATACCCAATTAGAATCGTGCCGACTTACAAAATGACTTGGTATGAATAAGAAACAATAAATTATAATATACCTTTATCTCAAAACAAGTGCATAATCGTCAGTCATGGTTATGTAACTGTTAATTTTAAGCCTGATGTGACCCAGTTTCCCCGAAATAATGATTAAGTTAAAACCGTCAAACACTCGTGACTTGGATCAGACTGAATGGAAATTAGTAATTGACAGCCGGTTAACGTTCTTTATTAAAGTCATTATTTATCGGTGAAATTGGGCCCTACGAATTATGAGGCCAATGTGTATTTTTTTTAGATAATATTATTATAAATCAAGAATCGATTATACATTAAAAATTACGACGCAGGCAGGAGATGAACCGTCATCGTCGAAATATATGCTCCTCTCACACAATGTAATTTCAGCCTTAATGCTTACTAATTAAGGTTCAACAACATATGCTTTACAGATGCCGTGGTCACGGGGAGACAAATATCGCGTTTTAAAGTGTTATATTTAAAATGTGTACTACTCGCGAAAACTACAGACAGTATTTAATTGAATGTACATTTCATAGTTTACCGTTTTAATACTATAATATATTATCATTGCACATGATGGCGCTATATAAATTAAAAATCAATTATAATTTGTTATTTTTTTTCAAAATCGAAAAATATTATTTTATTATGTTATCCCTTCGACCTCCAATTGTATTAACTATGGGGTACATTAGATTTAGAAATAGCTTAGTGTACCGTGAAAGTTTCCGCGAGTATGGACCGCGGGCTCATTACGTTGCTGATCAAAGCTCACTTGAAGCGATGACCCTTATTCGGAGACCCCTTGTATATTTTATATTCTAGTTCACTATAGAGATTCAACCGGACCAGATCTATGGAAACGAGTGGATCCTTTACAATGTAGAGCAGTTAAACATATGTTCGATCTAACATAACGGGGATATATCTACGAGATATCCTGCGGATATGACATCTACTGTGAACATTCTATAAATATCGCTGATATTGAATTTTACTAAATTTTAATCATTACTTTTATATCGCTTCTATGGAAATATTGGATTTTTCTAATTGACATCAGGCTATCTATGTCAATTAGAAAAAATATATTATAAAAATCCACAATGCGAAACATATAACGTCAATTACTGTTATCAATATTAAGTATAAGTTTAGAAATAGTAAAACAAGCACATACGATACAAATAATAATTGATTTAAATAAAAAAAACCGCGAGTAAAAAATAACTTTTTAAACATTTGTCACGTAACACAAAATGGTCCTAATTGGTCCGGTTTGTGACGTCACTTGCTTCTAAACAGTATTTTAAACCACAGTGCTTCCTAGTGTTAAAACTGTTCTATTCTCTGCATAAATTATCAAATAACTTTGTTACTCATTTTATTATTGCAATCACTGTTAAAATGTAATTGTTTGGTAGAAATGTATGTAGGTTGGAAATAACATTATCGACATACACCAATAGCCAATATAGGTAGGTCGTGACGTCATTTGTCGTATCGAGGCGTTATTTCGCACAGTTAGCGTTTAGCGCTATTAAAATGTTGAATTTTAATTTTATATATTTCAGCAAATATTTATCAGAATTCAAGAATACTTTTCTGAGGTCACTTAATCTTCATTCATAGGCACTTATATCATCTACAAAATAATATAGAGGTATTTAGTTACACTACACATACATTTACCAGGGTTGTGGTGCACTCTGTATTAAAACTTTATCATACAGCTACTCCCCAGATAATCTAAAAGTAAATCGTGTGAATAGTATTTTAGGTGATATCTTGATTCAATTATAATATCTCTGAAATTCTGTGGGACGTGATTTGAAACGGTTTCCAATTTAGTCGATTGCGAACGATGTAATTTCCGATTTCTGACGCCGTTTCGCCTTATCATTTATTCAAACATTTATTAGATTTCACGTGATATACGAGAAATTTTCACTGAATATTTCTAATAACTTTCACGAAAAAATTATGATTTCTTCCATTGTTCCTAACTTTAATAGCACAAGCCACATCAACAGAAAAGTATAATCATTATTTACATACCAAAGAAAAGGACAGTAGAAATTCCATACAATACCAGGAGGGTCAAATTTGTTTAGGATTTCAAATGTCTATTCATGGCGAAAGTTTATCTCATTACAATGTCAAACATTTGCACTACTTTTGACTGATACAGG